GGGGCCTGGGTCTGGAACGGTTCGGGTGGGGGAGGGGCTGGACCGTGGGTTTAGGGCCTTACCCAGAAGGCTTATTTCTGGTATGTTTTTGCAGAATTTGGGCTTGCGTGTAAGTTACCGGTCTTTCAGTCATATGGCCTGGGAGCAAATTCTGTCCAAATGCTGTGACATTTCTGTGAATATCAGTTTTTTCTCCTACTGTGGTGATGCTAAATAGGAAAAAACAGTATTTTTGTCATAGGAATGTTGGGAGGATTGGCCCTCTATAAATATTAACTTAATAGCAATTATTGAGAAATGGGAAGGTTTCTCTTTATAGACACATAGTTAGGGAAGGGAGTCTTGCTTGTATGATGTGTGGGTTTGAAAATAATCATAAATAGAGATTCAGTGGAACCAGCAAACCTGGGATACGGGCTTGGTCTGAGTAGGAAGCAAGTTGGACCCAGGCTGTCCATAGATACTTATCTTGGGGCTGACAATGGAAGCAGAAACTTACAAGGCTGTCGTCTATAAATCTTCAACTTCACTCATTTATTCATTCAAATACTTATGGACAGCCTTGTGTCTGATTCTGAGGCTAAAGCAGGGAGCAAAGAAGAAAGTGTGGGCCTCTGTCCTCTTAGGTTTGGTCTTATGGCAGATTATAAGCAAATAAACCAAACAGGACTGTGCCATGAGGGTGTAATGGGGACAGGGATTGCAGACTTTGTTCTGTGGAATTAGGGAAGTTGTTGACGAGGACAGAGCATTTGAATTGAGACCTGAAGGTCTGAGGGTGACCTAGACAAAGTAGAAGGCAGAGAGCACAACACAGGCCAGTTTCTCCAGCAGGAGGCTTGCCATACAGAGATGGGAGGCAGCAGGGCACTAGATAGATGGGAGTCGAAAGGGAGTACTGGAGAGACCATGTAGGGTGTGTAAACTGAGTATGCTGAGGCAGGAAGCTGTGGGAAGACTAGCTCCCAGCCAGACCCGAGTGGCCTGGAAGTGGTAAAGGATTTGAAGAAAGACACAGTTAAGTGGACAGAGACAGGAAGAGGAGGAGTAGACAGGTACCAAACCACATATCCAGGTAGTCTTAGAAAGGGAATGGGTTTAAAATGAAGCAGTGTGGACTAAAGTTACACCCTGGGAAAACTTTCCAGGGGCCTTTAGGCTTGTGGGGAACTGGGCTGGGTGAGAAAAGTAAGTTTGGGCCCCTCATGTTCTCTCCCTGACTACCTTCCCTGCTAGCAGGTAGAGTTTAGGAAGGCCACTTCCAGCTCCCAGCAGCCAGGTTGGAGTGAAGGTTGACTCACCACAGGCCCTGTCATTGATGTGGCCTCAACTGATGTCATGTCTAGCAGTGGTCTCTCTGGGTGAGAAGTCAGATAGTTGTGTGTGGGTAAGGGGAGGGATCTTTCTGGCAGGAATATGGGGAGAAGCAGGTTAATCTCAAAGCCAATAATAGAGGAGGCTGTGTGGCCTGGGACTGGCTACAGAAGTGTAAAGCTACTAGGTTTCAGGCTACTACAGAGAGTGGCTGTATCTGGGCCTTGTGTTGCAGGCACTAATGGTTTGAGGTGTCTCTCATTGGTGAGGTCAGAAATGCAAGAAGTTAGGGGCTGTAGGAGGGAGTGTGGGCAAGTTGGGCCTGGTTGGTGTGTGGAGTTGAAGACATTGCTGTGTCCAAGAGGTGCAGGTGAACAGTCAGCAGAGGCTGCTGCAAAACTGCCCTTAGGAAATGAAATCAGGGGAAATGCAAATCTAATGGGTGACTGTGATGAAGGGGAGAGGCAGGATAGAGGTGGGAACTAACACACTCGAGTCCTCATAGATTCTTCCCCTGGGGCCGGGTGAGACGTCCATAGCTCTGTCCTGGGGCCACTGGTGGAGTCGGAATATGAGCTAACTATAGAAGAGTCCTTGCTTTCTCTCACTGGGTTGGACAGGACTGTGTATGAGGTGGAAAACTAAACATAAAATACTTCATGATCTGAGTTATTGTCTGATTAATTACAACGTGTCACTTTCATTAAATGTTCAAGTGTGTGGTGTATGTCAAGATGTACTGGTAAGGGCATGGCATAGGAAAGGACAGCAGAGGAGGTGGAGGCCCAAGTGTGGTCTTGGAACATGAGCAGATAAGACAGAGGGTTGAGTAGGGAGGATCCATATGTGAGCATCTGGATACACAGGATTGGGAGAGGCAAACTAAGACAAGCTGTTGAGTTTGGTATATGAAGAGCCAGTGGGCTCTGCACCTGACCGTGACCAGCAAGTCTTGGAAACTAGAAGCTCAAGAGCAGTTCATGTAAGAGACCTGGAAAGTAGCCGGGCAGGATTGTCTGTGTCATCTGGTTGTCCCAGCAGCTGTGACATGCCTGGGCTAAGGAGAAGCCAGCAACAGGGAGGACTGTGAAACTTAGGTTGGTTTAATAGTGTCCGAGTCAGGAGGTCATAGAGGACGAGTGGGACTTTGGGGTGGAAGGGAGAAGAGAAATAGAACATGAGCTGGCATTTTGGAGCTGTTATTAAGCCTCATGCAAAGGGAAACTGGAGACCCTTCTGATAGGGAGCAATGCCACAGTCTGGGAGTCAGGGCATCCAGCCCCTGTGTGAGGGGTCAATCTAGGAGGCACAAGATTGCCTGTGGCCCTAGAGAACTTGAGGGGGAGATGGCACTGTGAGTAAGGGAGCTCCCCACTGATGTTCTTAGTGAAGTGGGTGGCATCAGCTTCTTGGGGGTGGGAGCGACCTGGAACCTATGGTGAAAGACAGAAGCCTCTCCAGGAGTGCTTAGTCAAGTCGGTGGTGCTGTCCAGCACCCCAAGAGCCATTTCTCATTGATCATTGCAACTCGGGTACAGGTGTTAAAGGAGGAGCACATTTAGGGCTTGGGGGTTGTTCAGTAGCCTGGGGAGCCTGGAGGCTGTAGACAGTGTGAAAATAGAGGCTCTGAGGAGATGTCACATGCAGGCAGTAACCTAGGTTATCAGAGAGGAGGTGCAGAGCCAGCAGCTGCTGGGGGCCAGATGGAGGCAGGTCAGGGAGATGAAATT